AAGATTATTGTTTCAGGTTGACGGAAAGACATGAATTAATTAATTTTTTTTTTGTTTTTTTTTACAAATTGGTCAAACCCAAACTCAAAGTAAAAACATTGTTTTCAATCGTTATGAGTCTACCAATTGAATAGAATTTTATTATAAACAATTGTCTTGTAAATGGAATTTTAAAGCATTCTGAATGTAAAAAATAAAAAAAAAATGTGCAAGACAATAAAAAAACAATGTTGCCAAAAAAAAGTGAAGTTTTTTGTTGAAATCGGTTGAAAATGTACAAGATCTGATCCCATATATAAATGAACACACACAACACAAACAACCTGGTTTTTATAATAAGTATAACTTAAATATTTTTGACATATTTCTTCATTCTTGTTGAGTAAATTTGAAATGTCTTAATCATGTTTTCAAATTGATTTGGTAAAAAAACAATTGTGTTTTTAAAATTTTTGGCACTGTCAGAACCATGCAAGTAATTTTAGTAGTCCTGAAAGTAGAATTGAAACAAGGTTGAAAAATGATCTGAAAAATAGATCAATATATAAAGAACAAGACAGCAACAGTTAAACAAGATGAGTTTTATAATAATAGATGATATATATAAATTTATATATGAAAAATTTTTTTTTTTATCCAAAAAAAAATTAGAAAGCCATCAGTATGCAGATGTTTGTGATTTTAAGCACAGAAAGACTCACAAATGAAGTCCAAATTTCAGCAAAATTTTAAAAATTTGAAATGAAAAAAATTGATTTGTTCAAACTGAATTTTCCTCATAAGAAAAAAATTTAGCCATTGATATACAATTCCATTTCCTTAAAAGAAATAAAGGTAAAAAAAAATACTCAAAAATCTGAAATTCTCTTTATTTTGGACTCATTCATTGAAGGTGATCCATTAATCGATGAAAAAAATTTAAAGATTGTAGATTAAAAAGAACAGGACTTCATGGAACAATCTTATAAAATTTAAATTAAGGAGTCTAGAGATAAAAGTGATTGACATTGCATTTATAATTAATTTTTCAGGATCACAATGATTGACATTCCATTTAAATTAAGGAGACAGGATCTGAACCTGCAAAAATATTAAATTTAATTTTTAAAACTGAATGTTTTGGAAAAATTTTTATTTAGCTCTCAATCCCAGAAATTTTTTAAAGGGATAAAATAATTGTCAAACATTTTAACTTTCGATCAAAGTTTTGAGCAAATTTCTGAGATAAATTGGTAAATTATATATGAAAAAAAAGATAAATATCTTAGCTTAAAAAATCAAATTGTTTCATTTAAATTTTTTTTTTTAAAAAAATAATAACCTGAGAATTGGTTTGAGGAAATATTAAATTCCATTGACATGCAATTTGGTTTTCAATGAAAAGAAATTCAGAGGTGGATTTCTGATTTAAGGCATTTAAAGATTGAGATTCCAAGGTTATTTCAATCCTTAGTGAATATAATTTTGTTTTTTAATGTTCAAACCAACGTTTAAAGAAAAATGTTATTATAAAAATAGGTTTTATGAATTTTAAGTAAAATGTCAAATGATCAAAATTTAACCACTATTTTAATGATTTACTGCAAAATTTGGAAAAAATAATAAAAATTTTCTTAAGCCTTAAAAACAAAAAATATAGTATTAAAATTTCATTATTTTTAAAAAGTTATTAATGAACAAGACAAGTGATTAAATTTTAAATTGCTGCTATAAGACTATAAATTATTATAAACTTTTTATTTTGATAAAGAAAAAATTAAATCTATTATTAATAATATATATATATATTTTGAACCCTAACATAAAAATTTCCCAAAGAATTTTCATTATTTTCATTTCTGTTTATATTATCAGCATTTTAAATTTGCTCAAAATTTTGATAAATTTCTTTGAGGACAAAGATGTATGACAAAAAACCTTTTTTTTCATTGTGACATGTTTATTTTTTCTTTATTTTTCTTGAAGTTCCATGTTTTTGATTTTGTAAGTTGATGTTTTTTAAATTTATCTGAATGATGGATATCTAGAATTTTAATTTTTAAAATTTTTTTTTTAAATTTAAACTTTTTTGTGATAATATGTTTTAAATGAGTCTTAATCTAGTAAAAACAGATCTTTTTTCTTTTTGTTTCCATAACTCTTTGTTATTAAATTTTGCATTAAAACTGGAAATGTTAATCAGACAAAACAAAAAATTGATCTATAATTTTATTTATATAGGCAAATTCATATAAGTTTAAAACAAAATAATATAAATGAAAAAAAATAAGACAGAAAATTTATTTTTTTTTCAATTATATTAAAAAAATATATTAATATATAAATCAAAATTATCATAATTAAAAACATATTGTGTTTATATGTTATATATTTAAAATATCCCAAATGTGTTTATAATCCAAAAATTTCTAGAGATTATTGATGTAGTCTTTAAATAATATTGCAGGTAATAGAGTAAATTCCTCCTTCAAGTTTCAGTTATTGTTTTGTTTTGTATTGATTAAATTTTTATTGTTTGAGTTTAGATAAATTCATTTTCAGCCTGGTAAATATTTATTAAACTCTAAAGAATGATGCTAATGGTTGTCTCCAGCATAGCTTTTGTTTTTGACAATATAGAACAGGAATCAAATATCAAACTTATATGCACATGTGCCTAAAACTTCGAATTACAACCAAAAACAACACATCTTTTTAAATGAAACATGAAAAAGGTTATTTTCTGAAAAAAATTAAGAGCAGAACATCAATTGAAATAACATTTATATATTCATTTTTGAAAATATACAATAGAAACAATAGTGAAGTTTGTTTTATAAAGTACTTAAGTGTTCTTAGTGCAGTGTGAAATGTATGGACAGACTTATTTTGTGATGGTCAGCCTAATGTTTTGTATGTTTGTAGACAAAGGCTTAGTAAGCAGTTACTGGTTAATCCATTCTATTGTGTGCATGACAAGGCCTCAGTCAGTGGCTGCTGGCTGTCATTTTTCTATTATGTGCATGAGTGTGTATGCATGTGTAGATCAAACTGGAAAAAAATTGGTTTGAGCCTTGAGAAGTAGTATGCTTCTATTTTTATATCCATACTGGAATTCAAAATAGAGTGCAATCTTTATGAATACAGTGTTTTTATCAGCTCAAAAATAATGTCACACTCTCTTGAAAATCTTTTCTCAAATTTGTAGGAGTGGTGAATTGGTGATATTGTCATTTTCTAAATGATCCAAAAAAATAACATGTAGTAGTTCTTTTAAAATCTTTTCATGCCTTGATGATGACTTGTATGACTGCTCAAGCTGCCCGTACTTCGAGCTTGATGCTATTTTACAAACTATTCAATTATTTATAGTAATTTATTTTTCTAGTCTTTAGATCTGCAAATCTTTTCATGCCATGGTGGCAGCCCAGGTGACTGCCCAAGTTGGCAATACCTTGAGCCAGCCTTCCCTGAGGAGTAAGGAAACTAAAAAAGCCAAATGATGATTGGTGCTGTGAGATGGTGATGATGTTTTGAAAATTGTAGGTGGCAGGAAGTAAAAAATCAGAAAATTTCCACAGTTAAGAATTGTGAGCAAAGAAACGATTAAAATAGAACTTATAGTTACATTTAGCTAGTTCGTTAGTAAAATGGTGATAACTAGTCACCAATCTAATACTAACTTGAATTCAGGGAGTCAAGCTACTAAGGGAAATTGAACAATTGTAAAAAAAATTATCAGGGCAGTGAGAAAGTGAATGAAGTCAAGATGCCAGGTAAGGATTGATAACATTTCAGACCCCCACTTTGAATTTTTGTGGAGAATCTTGACATATATAGCTGGAACACCAGACCAGATATGGCAACAGTATTCAATGCATGGATGAATGGTAGATTTATAAATGTACAAGATGGACTCTGACAAGAGAAATTGTCAGGCATTATACAGTGAACCAACTTTCCTAGCTGTGGACCTAGCTATTGATTCAATATAATCTATCCACTTCATGTCAGTGGAAGACATGAGCCCAAGAAGGTGCAAAGAGCTACTCTCCTGAAGATTTAAAACATAACATCATCCAAAATGGCAGTATATCTATAGTAAAAATTTGCAACCTTAATAACTTCCTTTTCCAAAACTAAAATTTCCATTGAAAATCATGAACAAGATTAAGAAAAACATGATTAGGAGAGTCTATTTAAAAGATAATATGAAGACAAAATTGCGTAAAGATTAGGTTATATCTTCAGAACATATAAAGAGAGAAAGATTTACATAACTCTTAGAAAAGTCTCTTTAAAAATTGAAAATATATTCCGAGGTATACTCCATAAACACTGATAAAAACATAGACACAAAATGAAAGCAAATATTAAGATTTCTCCAAACTGCATTATATCAACTGAATATTGGCAAATTCCCAGAAATAAAGGCTGATTTTAAATAAAGAGTAAATCTGGAAAACTTTTACATAAAGTAACATTTTGGCCTGGAGAAAAATACATTTTTGAACAGGTTAATTTAATTGGCTTGTATTGTAATTTTTAAATATAACACACGATCTTAATGGCCTAATATCAATTTGATAATTATGTCCTGTGAATGCAAAAGAAAATAAAAAGTTTAACATCTTTGAAGAATAACTCATTAGTGGAAAGTTCATTTAGTAATAATTACCAAACGAACTAATACTAAAAATTAATTTTATTTATTTCGCATTACTTAAGGGTTACATGTACAAATTCATTATTCTCTTATTAAAAAAAGTACAATTTTTATGAACCCTACCAAAATAATTTTATAAGATCTTATATTGTATTTATAAACAACAAAAACATAAGTGAGACTCATGAAGTTATGATCAAAATTATTTTTTCTCAACAAGAAAACTAAAAAAAGAACCAAAGTCAACTGGAAATGTTCAGAAAATCTAGCAATCAATACACAATGAAATCAAAATACTCATCGTCAACATCACAGATGAAATAAAACAACAAACTTCAAGCAATAAATAAACTGCTTACACCTGATAAAAAAACAACAAAGCATTTTTAAGTCTGTGTTCCTTGTGGAAAAGAGACGTGTGTAACACTATAAGACATTGGCATATGAATGATTTGGTAGCTGGAGGCAATGAATTAGCCATTATATTTGCAGCTTCTTTGGCTGCATTCGAGGATACTATCAAAAAAATGATTTGACAAGATGGCCAAATTGTAAAGCCTTTGTTGTTGCCTTTGTGCTGTTGTTGTAAAGTGCAGACATGTATGAGTAATTAGAATATTCTCTGTAATCAGCTAATGGCCAATTAGGATTTGTCAGAAGATGATTTAGACTGGGGGTTAGGGTAAGGAATAGAAGATTGTCAAAGGATGAGGGAAGATAAAAAAGGAAGATAAAAGGTGGAAAGGAAGAAGAAGAAGAGAAGAAAGTGATAAAAGCACAAAAAGGAAAAATAAGATAAAATAGAAGGTTGGAATTAGAAAGCTTTAGAAAAAGGAGAAAGTAAAGAGAAGAAGAAAAAAAAAAGAAAAATGGGAGGAAAGATATTATTTGCAGGGCTGAAAGAAACACTTTAAAAAAGTGACAAAAAAATAAAAAGAGGAAAATGTTAAGAAAAGGAAAGAAGAAATAAAAAGCGTTAAAAGATAGAAAGAAGAAATAGATACAAGAAAAGAAAAATACATAAAGATGAAGAACAGAAAAAGAACTCAAAGTTGGAAAAGCAATGAAGAAGAATGAAAAATGAAGAAGAAGAAACAAGAGAAGAAGAAGATTAAAAGAGTTACTGGAAGAAAGAAAATAAATTCAAAATGAAAAAAGGATTTGAAAGAGAAAGAATAATAATAATAAAACAATAAGCAGGAAAGAAAGAGAAAAGAAAAAATTGTAGAAAAATAGGGAGAAATGTCAACAGTGATGAAAGATTAAAGGAAGAATGAAAAAATAATACAAGAAAACAAGTAAGGAAAATGCTTAAGAATATTTTCATCTACTGACCCAAATATTGAAGAAATCTTATTAAAGAATAATATGCACTAGGATTTTTGAACATTCAGAAAAGGATGGAAAAAATTAAAAATAGTCAACCAATTTATCTTTATCATCAGAGATCAATCAAGGAAAAAATAACTGAAATATGACCATAAAAATTATATATAGTCAAAATGAAACTGCTCTCTTTTAATCATCTGAGAGAACCTTTTTTCCATCAGCATGGGTGATGCTAACCTCTGCTGGAGATTGATTCATTGATTCTTGCTTCCTTCATTGATTCCTTCTTGGGCTAACATTTTTAGCTGACATGGTGTGGATTTGGTTGATTTTGTTTAGCAACATATTAATCTCTATGGGTTATTTAGTACTGAAATCTAAATATTTTGAACAATTTTATGGCCTCAACTAAATAAATTTTGAACCCATAGAAGTTGATATGCCATGAAACGAAATCAATCAACAACAACCAGTCAGCTTCTAATTTATTCTTTATTTTTCTTATTTTCTCTTCCTTTCTAAATATTTATTTGCTTTTTCCAAATGTCTTTTATGGTCATTGTAATAATTTTTCCTTCGTGTTTATTTTTCCTTTTCTTTTTTAAATAAATCTGTCTGTTTTTTATAGCATGACTTAAATTCAGCACCCCTAAGATATTTACTTTTGATTTATGGTGAAAAAAGAACCGTCACCTTCCCCAAGTTCTCTCATATAAGCCAGGGGCAGACAATCCGTGATGCTTGCATTTACAAATGGACATTTTTTTTTTTTGAAAATAAAAAATTCACTCAGAATTATATCTGGCATTTCAAAACAATGTATAAATAAGCATTTGCAACTGCAGAGCTGATTAAAAACAAAACAGGAACTCGACTAACTGATCAAAAATTAAAAAAAAAAAGTCTATGCTCTTCTAACTCCGAACATTAAAAGTTGGGCAAAAGTTTCGTAAAAGGAGGTAATCCTGATTTTGTTTTTATTCAAAATTTTAAAACGGATATTTTACAGTATATCAAAAAAATAAATTATTCCAGATTACTACAATAATAAAAAATAATAATAATATAAAATTTTATAAAATCTAAACGGGGATCTAGTTTGCTAAGTAAATTCAATGTCTCGTCCCTTATGGAAACCATAAGATACACTCATACGATGTGTTTTCTTAAAATCTAAAAAAAAATTTAAGACATTTGGAAGTTCATAATCTGGAGTGGTGTTTTCACAGGTACAGTATTTTGAACAGATGTAGAGATTTATCCCTTGTTTCCTGTTTAGAGTTGGGATTTTTTTTTTATAGTCTTTTCATTCTCCTTCACTCCCAGTAGCCCCTTGCAAATCTTAGTGACATTATCAACTTGATTGGGGTGATTTGATAAGAAAAAAAAATTAGCCACACCAGATTACAAATTTCAATATGTTTTTTCTACGTTTTACAAAAACACTTGATACAAGCATAATTGTTTTGTCTTCCATAGGGAAAGAGTAGCAATTTATAATTAATCTTTTCAGTAAACTTAACCACTCAATTAAATTTTAAAAAATTAAAATAAAAAAACATTTTTAAATTCATGATCAGGCACACTTAATCTGTAGTAATATGAAACAAATTCTGAAAAAGAAAAAAGGATTATTTCTGGTTGCAGAGCCTGTTACACAACTACACCCTAATTCATCTCCATTATTGTGAATTAAATTTGAAAGGTTAATTTTTAAGCAAATTCACCCCAAGCAAGGCAGTAAAGCCACTAAGGCACAAGAGGTTACTGGGTGTGAAAGAATTAGAATACATAAACATTGTTAAAGAGTGAGAACAATAGAAGAGTGATCAGGAAGACAGTAATTAACAATTGACATTGAATTTAAATTTTTGATGATCAAAGTTGGCTGGAAACCAAGAAGCCGGAAGAGAGTTCCACAAGCAAGAAGTGTGAGAAAAGAAATTGTTAGCATAGAACTTAGGGTTACATCTAGCCAGTTCAACTGTAAATTGATGAGGAAATCTAGTACTGTGTTTAAATTCATAAAGTCGAGATACCATAGCAAAGAGATCAACCAAACAATTACCAAGAAAGTATTTATAGAAAAGGCACAGGGAAAGAAGTTTATGGGGTGGAAAAGCAACTGAAACCAAGATGCCAGGTCAGGACCAATAATATAGCTGATTCTCCTTTGGATTTTATCAACAATCTCTACATAAAATAGCAGGAGCATAGGACCAAATGTGGCAGTAATATTCTAAGCATAGGCAAAAGATAGGCATAGATATGAACAAATAGATTAATTTCAAGAAGAAAAGCTGGTTCACTGTGTCATGTTAGAAAGTTTTCTCTTCACAATCTATTTTTCATAATCTGTCTAACACGACACAGTGAACCAGCTTTCTTAACAGCTGCCTTGCAATGGATTCAATTTAGTCTTTCCACTTCATGTCAGCGAAGAATGTTAACCTGAGAAGGAGTAATAAGTCATTCTCCTGAAAGTTAGTATCAGCCATGCCGCTTCATTCAATCCAAAATGCTTCTGACATTATTCATTTCTGGCAATCGATATCCTTGAACATTTTGAAAAAATGATGAAAATTTGCTCAGATTTATTATCTACCATTTCAGAATGACATTCAGATGTAAAGAAGCATTTTCATCTCAGAATCTGATTCAAAACAATACCACAACTGACTGATCAAAATTTATATCTTTGTCATGCACAGTAACTAAATAGCTTTGAGTATTAAGTTTGGCAAAACTGAAAAAGAAATTTAAAAGACTGATTAATAGAAGTAACACAGATCTAGTTTCTGATATTAAATCAATGAATTGCATAAAAATGCTTCATTCTAGGTATGACAATAAACTACATCCGGCCTCTGATTGGGAGATTGGAGGTTTTCAAGGGCATAGAACAAGTTTCTTAATTGCTGTTGTTCCCAGGTCCACTCTAACATGAAGTGGTAGCACTTGTCAGGGTCCAAGTTATGGGCAAATTGCTAACCCCACAAACACTATGAAAGTATAAAAACATTTTTATACTGAAGATACCAGCAATGCATTTCCATAGTAAAAAAATTACCAGCAATAAATTTTTTTGAAAAAAAATTACCAGCAATACATTTTTGTAAAAACAAAAAAATTTACCAGCAATACATTTTTTGTAAAGAAAATTACTAATGCTTCCCAAGAAAATTTTTTCTGTTTTCAGTATTAAATGTCCCATAAAGAGTTGAGATGCTGCTAAAAAAACATAAAAATGCTAATTATATTTATAAAAATATTTCTGCAAGAAATTAATGGGAACATAACATTTGTATAATACATTTCAAGATAAAATAATGCATCTGGAGTTGTGCAGAGAAAAACTGACATGGAATAAGAAAGGTTCATCACTCTTACCAATCAACAAGATAAAATAAATATTTATGTTCAATTAATTTGATTGAAATTACTAAACAGAAGTTTAGTAGTAAACAAATAGTAATTTAGTAAACAAATTCTAATCTACTCACCTGGATGTTATTTGAGAGCCAAATGAAAAGCGTCAATTACTTTCTGATCCATATTGTCAAGATCTGCATGGTAACACCTTACATCTTACTCCTAGTTCACGCAGGCCAACTGTCACATCCTCAGATTCTTTTCGTGAAAAAACAATAGACAATGCCTTCAAAAACAAAAAAAGAAACTAATGACTAAACAGAAGGAGATTTTTTTTCTTGTTTGCTGAAATTCTCAAATATTTTTCAATAGTTCTAATCCTGCCAACAAGGTTTGGAAAAGATTCCCACCATTAGAAATGAGATATTACATAACATTCCAGCACAACTTCTATGCAGACTGTTAAAAAATGTTGCAGTTGGAGACAGCATGGGATCAGAAATGGGCTTGTCGGATGACTTGATATTCACCATGAAGAAGAGAAAGTTTTTTGGCATAAGCCACATCACAAGAGCCAACAATCTCCACTGATATCCTACAAGGTACAACCTTAACAAAAAAGAAGAAGAGGCAGACAGAGGGAGAAATGGGCTGATAATGCTACTGATAATGGGATTGGAAGTTTACTCACAAGACACTCAGGTATTGGCAAAATTAACTAAAACACATGAAAGAGGTTGATCAGGTGCTCAACTATGCAGCAGCCCAATGACCACACACAGTCATGGAATTATGACAATGATGATTATATAGTTGTTGTGGAGTAGCTGAACACCTCCACAAGGTAGACTGGTCTAAGACTATTTAAACAGCAATCTCTCTTACTGAGCGAGAGAGGTTAACAATTAACTGTTTATTATATTAGTCTGTGTTCTCAACGGCGATCATATTATTCTCCAGAATAAACTGACTTCTTATTTCTATATGTGTGTCAAACTTTCCTATTTACGACACAACAAAATAGTTTTAAATAAATCATCATATGAACAAATCAAGGGGTTTGTAGAAAGCAAAACAAGAAGGACTGTGTATATTTATTCTAAAATCACCATCAGACAAGAAAAGGCATATGGAAAGTCCCTATATCCACCATCAAGAAGAGAAAGGTGAAATAGTATATTTACATTAAAAGAGCCAACAATCTTTCCACTAAAAGTATCACCTTGGGCAAAAATGCGAGGTGGACAGATGGAGAAATGGACTGACAGTATCACTGAATGAACTAGAAGGAGACTTACATTGGCATGCAGCAGAGATATATGGAGGAAGCTGGTCAGGTGATCAACTAATCAGTGACCCAATGGCCACACCTAGTCATGGTAACTGATGGTGAATTATGATAAAATAATAAAAAAAATGATATGACAGAGAACAAAGCCAGCAACAATATTCCAAGAGCCAATACAATATGTTGCCACAAGTGAAAGAGACAAGGTGTAAACAGAACCAGGGCGATAAATAGGTAAAAAACCCCAAGCCCCTTCAGCCATGTACCCAAGCCTGATTGGGGACCCTTGAGCAGTATTTATGACCCTCACTATCTTATCAACATTTGATTTTTTTTCTACCTACATTTATATACATTACAAATTAAACTAAGCACAACTGACTATTAAAGGATGAAAAATTTTTTTGGATTTTTTACGTCATTCTGGGGTCTTTTTTTTTTCATCAAAATCCATGAATTTGTTTTGCTCAGGCTAAGTCACAAAAAAAATAAAAAACACTATATAAAATTCACTATTTTTTTTAACCATAATGTTGAATGTGTTAATTAAATTATTCAAGTTTTTAACAAGAAAAATCTCAAGTTGATGTTAAAAATTGTCACAAAACATTGTTGATTTATTTAAGATGGAATGATCTATTATGACATGTCTCTAATTTGTATTTAGATACATTATATTTATTTTCAATTTTTTCTAGTTGAATTGTTCACCTATATTACATATGATCCATTATTTTGTACATAATTAGGTTACAATAAAATTTTTTGATCTAAAAATAATTAGTTCCAAAGTAAAAGAAAAAAAAATTTTTTTTTAGTATAAAAAATAGACAAAACAATATTTATTTAAAATTTTCCAATTTAAATTGGGGTTTTTTCCATTAAAATATTTTATTTTTATACTTGAAAAAAAAAAAAAAGCATTTGGAAAAATATTTTAAAGATGTGTGATATTTAAAAATGTTTTTAGTTTTTTTAAAATTTTGCATTCTAAATTTTGTTTTTGCTTTCAAATTTTTCATCTGTCCTAAAAACTTTAAAAAAATTTTAATTTATTTTTGTTAACTTTAATAATATTGGATTTTGAAAAATTTTTTTATTTTATTTAAAAATGTAAAATGAAAAAAATATTAAAGTCTCATCCATCCACAACGAATTTTGACCTTCATTAAAACTTAAAAACTTTAAAATATAAAGAAAAACAAAATTCTCCTTTTTTGAGTTTGAATTAAGTATGAAATTTGAAAATCGGTTTTCAAATAATTTTTTTTATTTGGGGAAGAAAAAAAAAATACAATATTTTGTTTTAAAACACAAAAAAAATATGAAAAAAGTTCAGTTTTAAAAGAAACTGATATAAAAAACAAAAAATTTAAATTTAATTTTCAAATTTCAATTATTATTATGACTTATTTTGTGAAATGTTTTTTTGGATAATTTTCTTAAAGGAAAAAAAAAATAAAATTTTATTTACAAATTGAATTATATGACCATTTCTATTTAATTAAATAAGTTTAAACATCATGATTACACTTTTCAAAATTAAGAGCAGTTTTTATGGATAAAAATCATTGTTTAAAAAACATTTTGCGTGGGATTAAATGATGAAAATGTTCCTTTTTTTTTTTTTTTTAATTTTTTCATCTGAATTTCTTAACACATATTGCTTATTAATTATTGTATCATTTTAAAAAAAAAATTAAAAATATTTTAATTTATTAAAATGGAAAAATTTGGGGAAAATACAATTTTTTTTTTTCTAAGATCTATACAAAAATTTCTTTTTTAGAAACAGTGTAGAATAAATTATTATTTAAACAAAATTTTTGGCAACAAAAAAATTTTTTTCGTAATAATTTATGAAAAAAAACATTGTAAAATTAATAAAATTTTTTTAAAAAAGAAATTTTTCTAGTAAACCTTTTTTTTTAAAAATTTAAAATTTTTAAGTTAAAAAATAAAAAAAAATTTTATATAAAATAATTTTCGAAAAAAAAAAAAAAATAAAAAAAAAAACTATTTTATTAAATTTTTACTGAAAATGCAATTTTCATCACTTTTGTTTGTTTTGAATACAGTTTTTTCTCTAGGCAAAGGTATTCAAACCCTTGGTTTTGAAAACGGCAGAAATTAAAATCTCTTTTTTTTTAAAAGACTTTTAAGAGGATTATTAAATTTTCTTGATAAAACTTGTCATCAGTGAGTTCTGTTAAGATTTGGCTAGAATAAATTAATTAAATTGTATTAAATAATGTCTTTTTTTTTTAGTTTTTAAAAAGCCCTTTTTAAAAAAAAAACAATGTACAAGAAAAAAAAAATAAAAAAATTTAATAAAATACCAGGCTGAATAATTCTTAAATTAATTTGAAATTGTTTTAATTTTGTATTTAAAGAAAACAGATTAATCCTTGATTTTATATTGTGATTTTTTTTTTTTATTTTTATTTTTCAATAACAAATGTATTCAAATTTGTGGAAAGGAAATTGTATTATTTAATTTGTTTTGTTAAAAAAAATACATTTTTAAAAATAAATAGTGCGTAATGATTTTTCTGCAAAAAAGTCCTACTAAAAAAAAAATTTAAATTTGCAGAATTGAAAGATTCATTGCGTAGGCACTTGACCAGGAAATTAACGTTGATGATGGCAGTAATGGGAGACAAATGATCCCAACAAGATGTTAATTTTTGTTTCAAATAATTGAAAATTATGAAAGTTTCTTATTTTTAATTGTTTAAAAATGAGAGAATTATTTATCATTTGCACGGAATGATGGAAAAGTTGAATAAGGGATATTACAAGAGGGAAACATTTTTTAAAAATTTCTTAAATTTTATATTTACTAAAATTAAATTTTGAAAAAAAAATTTTTTCAATTTTCAAATCAGGATGGATCAATCAACCAACGTTTTTATTCAAATAAAAACCAAAATATAAATCCAATTGGTTATAAAATAAAATACAACAAATATCATGTTCTTTTTTTTAACAAAAATCAATTTCATGAATATGATGAAAAAAGAAAATTGGTAACCTCCATGAATAATTTTTTCATCTCAGATGAATGAAATAGTTTTATTTGTAATTTTGAACTTTTTTTTGGTAAAATTGAAAAACAAATTATGCAGGAAAAATTCAAATTTACCTTCCCTTTGTGTAGGGGGAAATTTTTTTTTTTTCTGAAAAAAAAAACATTGTATTTTGGAATTATTAACATAAAATTAAATCATTGTCTAAATATATTTTTGAAAAAAAAATAGTTCAATAAAAATCAAAAAAGAATTTCTTTTAGAATTGGTGATTCCATAATTTAATAAAACATTATTTTCATTCAAAATGGACAGAAAAAAATTATACTTAATAATATTCTACAAAAAAAAAAACTAATTTTTCAGTGTGATTTTGAAATTCATCCTGTTATTGTTCATCCCAAGATTTTCCTTTATCAAATGAAAACATCTTTGAAGAATTAAAAAATGTAAAGTTTAATGCCATTTTCAAGTCTGAATCTTTTTAAGAGAATTTATTTTATTTTTTTCTATTAACTGTTTGTTAGATTATTTTTAAATGGATGCAAAAAAGGAAATAATTCTGATTCAACACAGAAACCAATTCTACTAAAAGTTTAAACAATAAAAATAAATATAAATATTTTTTATTGGATAATAATGTGATATATTAAATATATAAAAAAAAATAAAATGGTTTCATCTGGAATATGAATGCCAGTGTCCATCATTACAGAAAGAAAAGTGAATACAGATTAACAAATTAATTGAAGAACTTTTTGAAAGAATAACTAAAAAAATGCCTAAATTTACTGTACAAATTTATGGTCGATGAATGATAAAAAAAAAAAAAGCAAAAACCAAAATTTCAAATATTATTTTTAAAAGGTTAAAAAAATATTTTTAATTTTAAAACAGAATTTTAAAATTTAAAACTTTACAAATTTTAATGATAAAAATTAAAAATTTTATTGTGAAAAATTTTTTTTTTCCTAATGAAATTTTGGAGGTAATTAAATTTTTTTTTTGTAAATACATATTCATCAGTCTTTTTTCTTACAAAACATAGTTTTGATTTAATATATTTATTTATACAGTAATTAAAAGTTTTTAAAATACCTGTTTTAGTTTCTCTACACAAGTACAATATTTTTATTAAACCTTTAAAAAGGTTGATATTTAAATTCATTGACAGTTTTACAGAATATGAAGTAAAAATTTGAGGGGTAAAAAATCAAAAGAAAGTTTTTTTAAAATTAGAATATGAAAACTAAAACATTGACATTCTATTATTGTTTAATAAGACATTGAAATATTTTCTAAAATAAGTTATTTTTTTCTTGGACAATTAGCAATAAACTTTGCAACTAATTTTTCAAATGTTATAAAAAAAAAAAAAAAAAAAAAAAAGCTAAAAAAATTTTTCAAATTTGATGACATTCACAGATAAGAAACTAAAGAGGTCATTCGCAATGAACAAGTTTAGTCCGCTTCAGTCAACCATAAATTTTTTTAAATTAAAATTTTCAAAAAGTAAATAAAAAAAGTCATGAGAAATAAAACTTAGAATTTTGTAAAACAAAACCAACAAATGAAAGAATTTTTCATTAGAAAACAAAAGGAATGTCTTTTATCACCAAATGACCAAATCATTTTCAACAAACAGTACAGTCTCTAATTTTTAAATTTTAAACCATGTTTTTAATTACATCCTTTTATTCCACACATTTTCAGATTGTTTATTGCTTGAAAAGTATGCAGAAATTTTATTTTTTTTTTTATTTCTAAGGTCATTATTCTAGCATCTGTAGGTAGGGTTGCCAAATCTGTCAAATTATAATAAAAGACATTGAGAGAAAAAAAAACAAGTTTTTAATATAATTCTTTTCTAAATAAAACAATAGAATTTAAAATTACATTTTTTTTTACCTTCGGAATTTGGAAAGAGCTAAATAAAGTATAGTTGTCAACGCCATCTGCAGAGGGTCCAATAAAAGACATTTGGCAACACCATCTGCAGAGGGTCCAATAAAAGACATTTGGCAATGCCATCTGCAGGGAGTCCAATAAAAGACAGTTGGCAACGTTATCTGCAGAGGGTCCAATAAAAGACATTTGGCAACGGCATCTGCAGAAGGTCCAATAAAAGACATTTGGCAGCGCTATCTAGCAAAATTATTTCAGTATAGAATGTAAGTCACCTAAAATATTTTATCTCATTAGCAAACTGTTGATGGGAGTGGATATCAAGTTATAAAAATGAAGTAAAAAAATTAATTTTGGATATTCTCAATCATTAATATCATCATTTTTCCTTCCTGATGGAAATATTTCAGTTCCTCTACAGCAAAAAAATGTTATTTTCATACAAACTCATGAGTAATGACATCCTTATTGCAACTTTTAAACTCTTATCAGTCCTAGTGGAATGCGTGCTCCACAAAATTTGTTATGTTAATAATAACACTTTAATCTTTCAGACTATTGTCCTGTGAGACAATCCTGAGTATAGATGTTGGAGCCTTAGATCTAATGTCCTTATTGAGTCTTGCAGTCAAGCTTGACTCCTTCAGCACCATTTCTCTTATTGTAGCTACTGAAAACTTATTAAATTTTGTCCTTTTTGCTATAGTTTCTCTAAATTTCTTTTTACTACTTTGTCTCATATAATATTCATATCTGTGCCATGCCTACTGAGGAAGCCATCATAACCTTGCATGTGTATTAATTCCTTCAGATCAGTACTCCAAATTAATTTTTTTTCATCATCTTCCCAGAACTGAAAATTAATAAGGGATGCAGGTTCAATTCCTGTCGGGGGTACAGTTTTTCTTTCACAGGACTTCATAGTTTAGACCCGTTGTTATTAATTTCAGTTTAAGAAATCAAAAATCAGGAAAGTAACTCAAACATGTTTATCCACTGGAAATAAGATTTTAATCATAAGTAATAAAAAATAATTTCAGATAAAAAACAATCTATTAAAAATTACTGTTATTTACGTTTCAGGTTCTAAACTGAAACTAACAGATCTAGATTTGTAGCAGTCCCAATGCGAAATGTGTCCGTGTTAAATAGGTCAGTCAAATGTTGCTCTGTCAGGCTGGTTTCTGTGACCAAATTGGTAAATCTACCATTCATGGCTCAAAAGCTTTTTTTTATCTGATTAAAAAAATTGAATTCTCAAGATAATTCCTGTTGAAGGCAAAATTTTTTAGTAATTTATATGCAATCTCGATTTAAATATACAAAAAATTAATTAATTTCATGGTTTAACAAAATAAAAAACAGGATGCCATATCAATTTCTTGTATGTTAACTTATAAAAAGATTTTTTAGTAAAATTAAAAATATATATATAATATATATATATATATGCGTTTTTTCCATCCACAAAATGAAACCTTGGTAGGTTTTCTTTATACATTTATTAATAAATCTACTATTCATTAATGTATTGAATACATTATTTGCCATATTTGGTCTTACTTTTTTTTTATATCTTTGGACTTTAGGTCTTGGATGCTAGATGATTAAGGCTCTGTAATGTATATTTTTCTTTGTTCTTTTTTTTTATATCTTTTTTCTTCTTGCATATTTATAAATTACTATTCATCCAAGGCATTGAATTTTTTGCCATATCAGGTCTGGTGTTCTTCTATATTCTCAAGATTTTTGAAAAATCCAGTGTATATATATATATAATTTAATTGATTCTGACCAGGCATCTTTGACTTGAAAATTTCTCACTGATGTAATAAAAGCTTTTCTTTGTCTTTTCTACAAATTTTTTCCTTGCAACTTCAAAAGACTAAAATTTGATATTGGTGTGATGCAATTACATGAATTTCCATGAACTAGATATGTGACTAGATTTAAATTTTATCTATTTATTTATTTTTTTATAGATTCAATGCCATTTTACTCTTAGTTTCTTTTCTTTCCAAACCTTTTTTGTTATGGTTCTCCTTCTGATTTCTTTCTTCCAGGATAACTAAAATGTTCAAAAATTTAAATGTAATAAATCATTTGTAGATGACCTTGAACCTCATTCCTTTTTTGTCATTTTGTCAATCCTGAATTGTTTTTTCCTTTCATCATTCTAGCAGTCTTTATGTAAAAATTGTGTTAAATGAATTATGACTAGATAATGGTGTTTTTAAATTTCTAAGCATCAATTCTTTTCATAATATATATAGTAAGAACCAATGTAAACAAATTGTGTTCAATATAGAACTTAAAGGATGAAAATGAAAACAAAAAAACTTTTTTATTTTTATAATTAGAAAGAAATATTTTGAGATATAAAATATAAAAAAATATATTAAAAATATATATCATTATCAGGATAGATTGAAGATGATATAAATAGTATATATATATACCTAAGAAACTTGGATGGTAGAACAGGGATTGGGAAGGACAGTTAATTTTGCAAACATTGTTAAGAACTGACACAGGATAGGTTAATGGAGGCTAAATCATCATGGCCTAAATTTTGATTCAGATCTGTTGTTTTCTCATTTTCTCAAAAGGTAAAAAAAAAATGGATGAATTTATCTTTTGTAAAATTAAACAAATTTTAATAATATGGTTAGAAAACTATTGCCAAGCAACCTATATACATTCTTAGAATAGACACCTCAAACTTGAGTGTTCCAAGAAGGTTTTTGATTATAATCCATTATTAAATGAGTTTATTTTTCAAAGAGGAACTAATGGATTAAGGAGTAGTCAAAAACCCAAGCAATTAAAAGCCACTAAAACACGAGGAATTATACTATGTTTGTTCTTATCCTAAAAAAAAAGAAAAAATATATATAAATAGAGATACTATATAAAGAACAACAATTAAGAAGACAGAATTTAATAATTGGCATTGTAGTTAAATTTTGACAATCAAAGTCGACTCTGGGAACTAAGAAACCAAAAGAGTTCCAAAAAGCAAGAAGTTCAATAGAAGAAAGGTTTGGACAAAGAAGTTATCATTATATGTTAGCCATTTCTTATTGATATAAGGACAAATTAAGCCAAAACAGAAGACGAACTTGACATTGAAATTTAATTTATTAAATCAAAAGTTGCAGGAAAACAAGAAACCGGAAGAGAGTTCAAAAAGTGAGAAGTGGGATTGAAGAACCTTAATATAGAAACAAATTACATTTAACTAAATTTGTTAATTTTTAAAATGATGAGACATTGCCTCAGAATCAATTAATGCTTTTTTTGTGTAAAGTCCTTTACCATTGAAGAATTTTCATCAGATCAATTTCCATAAAAATCTTGTTACCCCATGGATAAAACGATATAACAACTAGGTAATTCAAGTGGAAAGATTATGCTAAACACAGGAAATGCTTTTAAATCAAATAACATGGGTTTTAATGTACAGAAATGCACAATGAGGAAGAGTTCTTAAGGAAAATGGGAGAACGTCACTGGAGATCCTAAGGTAATTGAAATCCCCCAACAATACTTTGACACGTCTTTTATTTTCATCTCATTGTGAGGATTTTTTTAGACTGACCAATCACTGTGGGGTGTGTTAGGTTGTTCCACTATAACAAAAGTAATTATAATAAAATACAGGAAATTATGTTCAACAGTATTTGTTGACTGAAAGTGAGATGACAGATCAGGACCAGTAATTTTGCAGATTTTTCTTTGGATTTTATCAGGAATAGCTAAAGGTGTGCAGGAACACCAGACCAGATACAAAAAAGGTAATGCTAGTTTATTGGTAGAATTATAAATATGTAAAATAAATTCTGGCAAGAAAGATTTTCTCATCAACCCAGTGACCCAACTTTCTAGCTGTAGATCTAGCTTTTTGAAAATTTCCTATTCTACATTTCCAATTATTATTATTGTGGATAACAATTTCTCATGAAAAGTATTTTATAGAAAATGCACAAGGAATTTACATTATGGTGCAAGAAAGTAACTGATGTCTGAGATGCCAGGTCATGGAACTATAACATTCAAGATGAATTTGGATTAATATCAGGAATTTCTAAATGTATATCAGGAGCACCAGAAAATAAGAAAAGTGAAAATGCCTTGATAGATTTTTCTGGGATAAATGATATCATTATTTAATCAATGATTAAAGTGGATCATCAGCTTTATTATTTAAACTCATCACCTTCACTGTATAATTCGGAAGATAAACTATCATTATCTATGATCTTCCTCTTTTCTCCTAATCTCTCTGGGATAAAGTTTCAAATTAGTGCCTGAAGAATTTCAGGAAGTCAGGCAGCCATCCATATTACCTATTTATTTAGTGTAGATCTTTGTTGACTGATTATAAAATAAACAATAATGAAAACAAAACTATAGGGAAAAAGAATGAGCAAACATTGATAAACACGAACACATAAAAAACAAAGTGTCAAAATAGAATGACACTGCTTTTATAACCACTTTTACTCTTTGGCAATGTACTGTTTTAAAAAGCGATGATCAGAATTGGAATAAAACCTAAACATATGAAATGTGAATTTATACATTTTCTTTTTGTTATTGAGAATTGACAACAAAAATAAATAAAACAATTTATTTATTAGATTGTTCATTTACACTATTTATCATATAATTTATTGAAATGTTTCATCAAATATCAGCTAATTGGTTTGATTCAAAATTATAAAATGGTAAATAATAATTATTTATCTTATAGTTTGCATATTTTAATAATTTAGTAAATGTTTATAGATTTGAATAAAAAATTTCGAACATTTATTGTTTTTATAAACTGGCAAAATGATAAATATGTTTTTAGTTTTTAATTTTATTAGTTTTTAGAATGTTGTAAATATAAAATTACTAGCAGCATGGCCCGGCATTGCCTGTGCTTGATTCAAAAATAGTACGACTAATACAGCAATCGCTATCACTTGACTTAAAATATTTTTGCCCTTCCTTGCCTTTAGAGGAGTGCCCTTTGCCGTGCTGATGTTGTTACATGCCTTACTTCTTGCCTATATCACACTGCCAACTTTTTCTAAGCTCTATAGTAAACATTAAATCTGTTACGAAAAAAGAACTAAACAAAATAAACACAATACGATCAGCTTTAAAAAAACGGAAAAAACATTTTTAAGGGTTGACCGATTGTCGATTTGCACTCTGTTTGGGGGGTGCTCAGAGT